AGAAGGGAACACGGGGAACACAAGGGAAACAAGCAACACAGGGGACTCAAAGGGGCACCGGGAACACAAGTGAGACTAAAGTCACAAGGGACACAGGGGACTCATGGGGACACAGGTCACAAGGGGACTGTAACTAAATTTTTTAAGATACAGCGCCCCTATGGGGACCAGCCTTAGAGCTGAACAGGCTACCCTGTGTAAATAAAGTTTTACTTTACTTTACTTTAAGGGGACACGGGACACTAGGGACACAAAGGGCACAAGGAGACCAATGGGACACAAGGGATACAAGGGAACACAAGGGACACAGGGGCTACAAGGGAACACAAAAGACACAGAGGACACAAGGGAGACAGGGGCTTTAAAGAGACACAAGGTATATGGGGGACACAAGGGATACAAAGAAAAACAAGGGACACAGGAGACACAAGAGACAAAGGAAAACAAAGGACACAACAACAACAACAACAAGTTTATTCAGTATTACCATTTTGTACAGGTGTTACCGATTAAAATAACAATAATAAACAGCTAAGTTTAAGGAAATGCAGATATGATGGAACGGTAGAATTAACTATGTTTCTTTCGTCTTTCAAATGCTTGAAAGATGAAATTAGCAGCTAGCCTGCTGATATGTGAATCAGTATTGTTAAAACGAAAACAGACTTTATCATGGATATTGTAATGTGTAAATAATGTATTTCGGTCGTTGATTTTAATAAAAAGAGTCTTTCTCAAATCATTGTATTGATCACAGTGAAATAATATGTGCAGTTCATTTTCAACTGAAATTTGGTTGCAATGATCACAGATTCTAAGGTCTTCAGGAGTTTTGGGGATTGTAAATCTTCCAGTTTCTATTTTTAAATTATGATTTCCTATCCTAAATTTGGAAGCTACACGCCTACGTTCAGGATTCCGGATATGATTGATGAATTCAGAGTGATCTCTTTCATTTTTAAAGATGGAGTAGAATTTTAGTTTTTATTTGTTCTTATCAAATTTAGCTGGTGGTTTTTCAGATGTTTTGACAAATTATTCTCAGCTTTGGATAGGAAAGTAGAAGGGTTTTTAAATTTAACTGACTGTTTATGAATATTAAGTTGTGTACTCAAAATATTTATTTTATTTATTAGACCAGATTTATTTTCTTCGGCCAGTTTATCCGATATGTTTAAGCAGAGTTTAGCGATGCTGTCAGGGGGTTGATTTTCAAGGTGAATCCAAAATTTGAAAATGTTCATTGTTATCTGTAAATTTAGAGATAATCTACCAAGTTCATTTCTGGATGCAACATTCGGTGAACGTTTGTTTAAACCTAAACACATCTTACAAAAATGTATATGCGTTTTCCCAATCGAGTCTTTATCCCAGCGGCTATAATCACTTTTATCATAGACTCCCCAACTTCAGAGCAATACGTTAAAATTGGGAAAAATAGTGTATTGAACAGTTTGTTGATGATGTGAATTGGTAATTTTAGAAAATCTAGATAACGATGAGCGGCAAAAAAGGATCTCTTTGTTTTTTCTGTTAAGTTTTCGTTGTGATTTGTAAAATTTCCATTGGCAGAAAATTTCACTCCAAGATAGGTATAGTTATTGACGATTTCAATGTTTTCATTACTAACCATAAAATTGTGTTTATCTATTGCTGATTTTCTACTTTTTTTCTGAAATACAATAACTTTGGTTTTAGTTGGATTAAGGCTCAAGAAGCCAATCCGGACGATATTTTGATAGTCTGTCAAGACTTTGTTGCAAACCTTCTGCCGAGGTAGATATTAAAAGTAAATCATGGGCATAAAGTAGACAGTTTAAGTGATAACCATCTGGTATTCAGACAGAATCTTTAGCATTGTTATTTAGAATGAAGGGTAGTTCGTTTATATAAAGGTTAAATAGAAGCGGCGACAGAATACAGCCTTGTCGTACACCTTTATCATAGTTGAAAAATTCTGATCGAGTATAATTGCCTTTCACACAACATATTGAACTTGAATACATGCTGGAAATTATTTTGTAAAAGGAGCCACCTATGTTATATTTCAATAGGGAGACAGGGGACATAGGAGGACATAAGGGGCACGAAGGACAAGGGGGCACAAAGGTTCAGAGGGGACACAATAGTACCAAGGGGACAGAGGGCAAACAAGGTGACACAAAGGACACCGGGGACACAAGCCAAACAGGGGACAGAGGAGACTCAAAGGGACACAGGGGCACAAGGGACACAGAGGTCACAAAGGACCCAAGGGGACACAGAGGACCACAAAAACACAAGAGACACAGGGGACACAGGGAACTTAAGGAGACACAGGAGAAGCAAGGGACACAGCGGACACAGGGGACAAAGGGCACACAAGGGACACAATGGGAGACATCGAACACCAGGGACACAAGGAGACAAAAGGGACACAGAGGACACAATGGCTACAGGAGACACAGGGGACACAAGCGAAGGGGACACAATAGGACACATGGGACACAAGGGGCATAAGGGATAGAGAGGTCACAAGGGATCCACAGGGACACAAGGTACACAAGAGACACACGGGATAAATAAGAGAAGGTGACACAAGGGACAAAGGAAAACACAAAAGACACAAGAAACACAGTGGACACAGGAAACGTTAGGAGACACGGGGGAAGCAAGAGACACAGTGGACACAGGGGTGACAAAGGACACGAGGGGACAAAAGGAACAAAGGGGACACAAGGGAAAAATGGGACACATAGGACACAAGGGGACAAAAGGGACACAATGGGACAGAGGACAAAATGGATACAGGAGACATAGGGCACACAATCGACTCAAGCGACACAATGGGACACAATAGACACAAGGGGCACAAAGGGACACAAGGGGACACAAAAGAAAAAGCGAACCCAAGGGACACAAGAGACACAAAAGGACACAAGGTACGCAGAGGACTCAGGGAACCCAAAAGACACTAGGGACACGGAGGGCACAATGGATCCGAGGGGATACAAGAGGCACACGGGATACATGGGACACAAGGGACACAGGAAAACACAAGAGACGCAAGGGACACAGGGCACACAGGGAACTTAAGGAGACACAGGGCAAGCAAGGGATACAGTGGACACGTGTGGACAGAGGGGACAAAGGGGACACAATGGGGACAGAAGACACGATGGATACAGGAGACACAGGGGACCCAAGGGACACAGAAAACACAAGAGACACAGGGGTCACAAGGGGACACATGGTGACAAGGGGCAGAAAGGGACAAAAGGGACACAAGAAGACACAACGGACACAGGGGACTCCAGGGACCCAAAGGACACAGGGGGTAAAAGGGACACAGGAGACAGAGGGGACAAAATTGAAGACAAGGGACATAGCCCACTCAGTGGACGCAAAGGGACACAGGGGACACAAGGGGCAAAGGAACTTCGAAGGGACACAAGGGACACAGACGAAAACAAGGGACACAAAGGAAAACAAAGGACACAGGGGACACAAGAGGAAACAAGGGACAATGGGGACAAAAGGGGCACAGAGGACACGGGGACACAAAGGGATACGAGGAACATATGGAAAACAAGGGGACAGAAGGGACACAAGGGACACAGGGGACAAAACAGGCAGAAGGGACATAGGGGACACAGATAACACAGGGGACACAAGGGACACAGGTGACAAAGGGGTAACAAGGGACACAAGGGGACACAAAAGACACAGGGGACACAAAGCACACAAGAGGAAACATGGGAAACAAGGGACACAAGTGGACATAAGGGACACAGGGGACACAAAGGGAAACAGGGACATAATTGAAGACCAGGGACACAGAGGACACAGGGGACACGTGAGACAAAGGGAACACAACGGACACAGGGGACACAATAGACAAAAGGGACACAGTGAACCCAAGGAGATACAGGAGTCACAAGTTACACAGGGGACACAAGGGACACAGCAGACACAAAGGACATAGGAGACAGGCGCAAAAGGGACACAGAGGTCACAGGGACATAGGGGAGACAAGAGACACAGGGGACACAAGGGACACAGGGAAACAAAATGGAGGCAGGGGACTTAGGGAGCACAAAGGAGACGGGGAAGAATGGAGACAATCAACTCAAGGGGACACATGGCACACAAGGGGAAACCAGGTATGCAGGGGTCACAAGGGACACGGGGGACACAAGTGACACAGGGGACTGACTCTAGGGACTCAGGGGACACAGGGAACATAAGGGACACAGGGGACTCAAAAGTACAAAAGGGACACAAGGAGACACAAGCAACACAAGGGACACAAAGGGACACAGGGTACACAAGGGATACAGGGATACTAGGAGACACAAGGGAGACAGGAGACTCAGTGCACACAAGGGACACAGGGGACACAAGGGCTCCACACAAGGGCACAAGGGACACAGGGAAGTTATGGGACACGGGAGACTTATGGGACACAGGAGACACAAGGGACGCAGCCGACACAGGCGACACACGGGACACAACCGACATAGGGGACACAGGGAACACAGGGGACACACGGGTCGCAATGGACATAAGTTGACCCAAGGCACACACGGGACACAGAAGACACAAGGGTCACAGGGGACACAAATAACAAAGGTGACCCAGGGGACACGATGGACATAGGGGACACAGGAGAGAGAGAAGGCACCAAAGGGACACAGGGGTCTCTTGGGGACACAAGGGACACATGGGACACAAGAGGACAAAAGGGGCACAAGGGGACACAAGGGATACAAGAGACACATGGGGACACAGGAGACTCTGGGCACCCAGGGGACAGAAAGGACACAGGGGAAACAATGGAGACAGGAGACAAAGGGGACACAAGGGGACACATGGAACACAGGTGACACGAGGGACACAGGAGACAAAAGGGACACAAAGGGACACAGGAAACTCCTTGCACAGAGGGAACACAAGGGACCCAGAGACAGAGGAGATGCAAGGGACACGGGACACAAGGGAGACAGGGGACACAAGGCACACAAGAGGACACAGGGGACACAAGGGAAACACTAGTCACAAGGGACACAAGGGGACACAGGCGACATAGTTGAAGACCAGGGACACTAGGAACACAGGGAACTCAAAGGGACACAGGGGACACAAGTGGACACATGGGACAAAGGGAACACAACAAACACAGGGGGGGGGGACAAGAGACACAAGGGGCACAGGGAACCCAAGGAGACACTGGGTTCACAAGGGACACAGCGGACACAAGGGACATAGGAGACAGAGGGGACACAGGGAACACAGGGGACACAAAGGGATAGAGGGGAGACAAGGAGACAAGAGACGCAGGGGACACGGGGAAACACAAGGGAGTCAGGGGACTGAGGGGACACAATTGAAAACAAGGGAGACTGGAGACACAGTCAACACAAGGGGACACAGGGGAGACAAGGGGACACCAGGTACACAGGGGTCACAAGGGACAGGGGACAAAACTTGACCTAGGGGACACAAGGGACACAGAGGACAGAACTGACACACTGGACTATAGGGACTTAGAGGACACAAAGGAACACAGGGGACAGAAAGGTGCAAAAGGGACACAAGGGAACACAGGGAACACAAAGAAACAGAAAGGTAGCAGGGGACACAAGGGGTCATGAGCGAGACAAGGGGACATTGGGAACACAGGGATTACAACGGACACAATAGGGCACATGGGACACAAGGGGACAAAAGGAACACAAGGGTACACAGGGGACACAAGGGGACAAAAGCAACACAGGAGACTCATGGCACACAAGGGACACAGGGGCTGCATGGGACAGTGGAGACACAACGGACACAGGGGACACAGGAGACACAAGGGACACAAGGGGACACATGGGACGCAGGGGACACGAGGGACACAGGGGACTTATGGGACACAAGGAACACAGGGTACACAAGAGACATAGAGGACACCGGGAACACATGTGTTACAAGGGACGTAAGTTGACCCAAGGCACACAGGGGACACAAGGGACACAAGAAACAAAGGGGATCCAGGGGACACAAGGGACACGATGGACACAGGGGAGAGAAGAGACCCAAGGGACAAAGGGTCACTTGGGGACACAAGGGACACAATGGGACAAAAGGGACACAAGGGGACACAGGAGACACAAGAGATACAAGGGGCGCAAGGGGACACAATGGACACAGGAGACTCAGGGCACACAAGGGACACAAGGGACACAGGGGCTCCATGGAACACAAGGAACACAGGGGACAGAAGGGACACAAGGGGACACATTAGACGCAGGTGACACAATTGGAACAAAGAAACACAAAGGTACACAGGGGACACAAGGGGACATAAGGAACACAAGGGATACAGGGGACAGAAAGGACACAGAGTCTCCATGGAACACAGGAGACACAGGGGACACAAGGGACACAGGGTCTCCATGAGACACAGGAGACACAAGGGACACAAGGGGACACATGGGACGCAGGTGACACGAGGGACACAGGAGACAAGGGACACGAAGGGATATAGGGGACACAAGGGATACTGGAGAGTCATGGGACAGAGGGAACACAAGGGACACATTAGACACAAGGAAGACAGGGGACACAAGGCACACAAGAGGACACATGGGACAAAGGAGTCACAAGGGAGACAAGGGGACATAAGAGACACAGGAGACACAGAGGACACAAAGGGACACTCGGGATACATGGAACACAGGGGACACAGGGGACACAAGGGGACACAACGGACACAACGGACACATGGGACACAAAGGTACAAACGGGACACAAGGGGACACAGGGAACACAAAGGGATAAAGGGGACACAAACATACACAGGGTCACAAGAATACACGCGGAACACAAAGGGACATAGGGAACACAAGGGATACATGGGACACAAAGGGACACAGGGGACACAAAGGGACTAAGGTGGACGCAAGGGGACACAGGGAAGACAAGAGACCCAGGAGAGAAAAAGGGACACAGAGGACACAGGGGACACAGAAGAGACAAGAGACACAGGGCATAGAAGGGGACACAGAGGACACAGGGGACACAGGGGACACAAGGGGCACAGTGAACTACTCCTCCTCTACGCAGTAAGCTTACTTTTTGCTTCTTGTCTGACGCAGTAGCTTTTTTCTGCTTGTGAAATCGAACCTAACTTGCTTTTGATTGGAAGTTTTAGCCAATGAAAACCACACAATTTTCCAGGACGGGTACGGGATATAGGAAAGTTAAACAAACAAGACAGTTTTTCACTCCTTAGAAAATACGAAAGGAATGCGCTACCGAATTTTATGACGCTTGCTGACTACGTCATCTCGGGTAATAAAATAAGAGAAAAGGAGCAAAATGGTACTTTATGCAACAGTCATTTACGGAAATACAATGAGAACAAAGTGAAAGAATCTTTTAGTATACACAAACATGTCCGGCGGTATATGGCCTTGAGCAGTGGAAACGAAGGCATGAAACTTTTAACCTTGTTTTCAGCTTTTTTCGTTCTTA